TGGATATGCTCATTACATGGGCTAATTGTCACTGGTATTTTGCAGTGCCCCCACTGCTCTTTGCAGTTGAGGAATGAACGGATATAAAGGCTCTGATATGGGAAACAGCAATTACGGAAAAGAGCAAGGACACTGTGTCTCTCAGTCGAACTTGGCAGACTGTAATTAATACCTTAAAAAACAGAAAAGCGAGATATGCTGAGGCTGTGAGCCCCGTAATTCTACCTGCGTCACAGCGGCAGATGCCTTTACCTCCCACTGCTGGGCAAGCACTCCTATCTATGCTGCCCTTGGAGAGAGGGAGGGAGAGTCAGAGAGAAGAAAATAATGAGAAAGAGATTCCACAGGGAACGCTGAAACAACGAACAGAATCTGTTCAGTTACAGCAGGATGTGATACATCCGGAACTATTTGCTTCACTTTTGGAGTCACTCTTAACACTACAATCTTATTTAAGTTCCAGCTTTACTACCCTGGAAGAAAAGAAGCCAAATTTAGACTGGTTTCCACCCGAACCAGGGGGACATGGGGGAGCACTGAGGTGTGCGCAGGGAACAAAGACACCCTCGGGGCAGAGGCAGTGCAAGAAAAGTTCCAAGGCCACGCTGAACAATTACAGAAGCATTTGAGCAGAAACAGGTGGCTCAGACAGCTTCAAGGAGAGACAAAATAGCCAAAAAATCACGAACTATACGGTATCTATTTCAAAATTCATCACTGTAATTAGAAGTTGATAAGCTGCAATGGTCGCCGTTGTTAGCACCTGGCCATGAGAGACTTTTCGTGTAACATCGCTTGCTCCTTTTTTGATTTTTTGTAAATCGTGTCCTTTTCCCTCTATCTGCAAGCAACGAGAGAGAAACTGAGAGAAAAAACTGTATGTGTTAAAGTTAACTTTGGGAGGTTTTTTTTTCCTCTTTCTCCCCATTTTTCCTCTCTGCGAGAGTATGTGGAGAATGTGAAGAAAGATAAGAGCAGCAGAGAGCAGCAGCAGGGCAGGCAGTCCACCCCCCCACTCCCTCTCTAAGAAAAAGCACTGGGAAATACCCAGTTTGTTAAGCAGTCATGATTCATTGGGTTTTTTTAAACTGTTTTTATATACCCTTTTAGAGTTAATTTTGTGTTTTAGGTAATTATGAGTTTATGCAGTTGCAGTTTTTAGAGTTTTACTAGAGAAATTATTGTGATTCTTTGAAAGTTAAAAAAAAAAGGAAAAAAGAAAAAAAAGGGTGTTTAAGGTGAATATTAAAACAGAAGTTACCTTGCAATAATTAGTTTTAAAACCTAAGGTTAAAAAATATGGTATGATTCACAGCTACTCTGCAAATCTTCCAATTAATGTTATTTACAGAAGAGATTTGTAGTTTAAAAAATAATTAGTTAAGAGAACCTCACTGTACAATACAACGTTAAGTTAAAGTATGTATTACCCATTTGCTTGTTTTTTCCACAATTTTAATAAGGTAATTTCAATGTGAGTCTTTTTGTTATATAAAACACGTATAACTGCATATATACCAATTTGGATTTTGGATTTTAGTTTAAGAATTGGCCTTAATGCTTCTGAAAAGTGCTACAAAAGCTGAATGGCAACTTGCCAAATCCTGTGTTCTTGTGGTTTTTTCTCTAGAAAAACTGCACTTTAAAATCCTAACCAACTTAAGCATATACTAGGCAAATTCCTGTTATGAATAAGTATTTTTAGTAACATCTGCAGTTATTGTGAGTTATTCTCAAAGCTAGATGATATAGAATTGTGATGCATTTGCTACATTTTTATAATCTTTATAGTGAATCCATGTTACTGTTATATTGTGTTTAAAAGGTATATATCAAACTTTTATTTGCCTTTTTGTAGTAACCAAATAAGATTAAGTTATGTTTCTATTTAATATAGATTAAGTGTTAATAGAATTAAGAATAGTCAAGTTTTATTATGTTCAGGCTTAAATGTTTTTAAGTTAAGTTTTATAACTTAGATATTCCTTTAAGGTTAAGTTTTGTTATTTCCTTTTGTCATAAATAATTATTGTTAGGTTTAAATATTGTTTAATTTGTTTTATGTTTTATTGGAGACACTTGTTTAAACTGGAAAGTATAGTTATTTTCCTAGAGAAATTAAGATAGCCACAACTGAAACAGCTGTGACAGAACGCTGATGAACACCTGCTTGTGGATAGAAGTGAATACAGTCTGTGACACCCTTGACTTCATAGGGAGTTCTATTGGTTGTTGCAATCTCTGCAGTTTTTGTTTGTTATAGCTTTCTTATTTTTCAGTGTTTCCAGAATTTTAAGAAGATGTACCATTGCTGAGGCACAGCTGCCATGGGAGAGGCTTCAGATTAAACCAACTGCTGCATGGTTTAATTGGTCTGGTACCTGAGGCTTCTGATCATTTGCTTTGTACAAATGCATTTTAACAGTTTGCTGTGCTGTAAGCATCTCATAGCTGCTACTATTGAGAACCTTGTTTTAGAAATGAGTTGAGGCATCTTTCCAGTTTAAAGCCTAAGGCCCTGGCCAAGCCTTGACTTTACCTGGACGGAATGTTTGCCCACAGATGCAGATGTTTTCTGTACCAAAAGAGTATTTGAGTCACTTTTTGACTCAGCAATTTGACCCTATTAATATGACAGCTGGATCAGTTTTGAAGTGGGTTTGGAGAATCATTTCTGGAGGTGGTTATCCAATCCTTCACTGATTTTTTTATTGTTTCTGTTTGTTTGCAAACTATGGGATGCTGGTGTAGTGTTTTAGTAGTTAGTGGTAGTTTTATATTACATATGTTATTAATAATGTTTATAATTTGATTGATTTTTAACTGCTATAGGTTCTTATTCATTGTGTATATGGTTTTGTGTTGATGTTGATGTGTATAACAGAAGTACATCTCATTTTTATTTTTTTTTAAGAAAACGGGGGAAATGGATGCCCTAAAAGCATTTGATTAGTGTAATTCATTAACTTCAAGGAGAGAAGTGTCTGTGTTTTGTTGGCAGATTCAAATAGGTCACCTGTCCATCTGACCAGACTGTCTGCCTCTGAACATATGAGATCCAGTGAACAGAGAAGTCACCACACAGCCTTGGTACTCCAGACAAGATCAGAAGTGGACCTGTCAGGACACACTTGTGTCCCAACACTACACAGACAGTTGACAACAGAAATTTTATGTTGTTATTATGATGTTGTGTCTTCTGTTTTAAGATTTAGAAGGATCTGAAGAACAACCTGAACATCAAAGCCCTCAGTCACCGATCAGCTGCCAGCTGACATCACGGGAACAGTGAATGTTCCGAGACTGAATCGTGTTAAACCATAATCTGTGAAGGAAATTCTGTAGAAGACCTAAGAAAAGTGTAGAGACTCCATCTAATTGTATAAAAAGCAAATTGTAGTTGTGTGTTTACCCTTTCAGCAAATTGCTTTCATGCTTAGACTACATACATACCAGAGCACGTGTGTTCAAAGTAGTTAGATAATAGTTTAAGATAAAGAGTTTAGCCTATATAGTAATTGTTATATTAGTATAAAGTATAAGCATTCCCTCCTTCAAAAGCTAGTGCAAACATCTTTGAAAGTTCATTTAATGTTAAAGTTTTAGCTGTGAGTTTGCAAGTATGGTGTCATTTGCATGGAACAAACTGCTTATAGTAATTGTGCTGTGTGTAGTCCCAACCAGCTGTCTGCTAACTAACATCCAAAAGTGACAGAACATATGGGTCACTCTGGCACATTTGATAGGCCAAAAATCAATGTGTTTGAGCCTAGCCACACCTGGAGATCCTTTCCACACCTGTCTCATAGGAGTCCCTGAATGGGATCCTCAAGCATTTAAAGGTTTAATTAGTAATGAGACTCGACTGAATAAATTTCACATTAAGACAACTTGAAGCCTGCTGGCAAGTGAAAATTATCAAAGTTCTTAATGTTACTATAGAGCCCCCAGAAGAATAAGATTTGTTAAGTTCCACCAATACCTCAGGTGGATGGATAATGTTTGAACCCCCAACAAAAGCCATTCTAACAAAGTAATGCAGCACTGGGCTGAAGTCAGCCCTATGGCTGATCTCGTTACTACCATTGAAAGTAAAGCCTTTATTCATGGTGCAATCTCACAGGACAATTACCAAAGCGATTACTTAGTTCCATATTCCTAATCTGTGGAGATAGAGCATGGAATGAGATTCCTGCTAATCCATATAGAGGACCCTGTAATCTTGGGAAATTTACTTTGTTCCATCCAAGCTTACACCAGTTGCTTAATGTGGCTGATAAAATAAAAAACATCAAACAGTCAAAGCAAAGCCTGTATGAATTAAGGCTTAGCAACTCTAAAATAGCTCACTTGTTAGACTAAGAAAGAATTGAACTTAACATCCACAATGTTAAGTGAACTTTTAACCGATGTGAGTAGTGTACGTCTTGCAGTATTACAAAATTGAGCTGCAACTGATTTCTTGATCTTAGCACAAGGATATGGTTGTGAGGAGTTTGAAGGCTGTCTGAATCTAACTGATCATTCAGCTTCCATCCATAAGCAACTACAACAGCTACAGGATGGGTTACATGCCCTGAAAGAAGATAGTGACCCCATTAGAAGTTGGTTCACCAGCTGGGTATCACTGGATGGTTGAGGTCTCTTGTGCTAGAAGGGGGGCAGACTTTACTTATAATGTTAATAATGACAGTCTAAGTTGTATGTTATCTTGCCTTCATAAGAGTATAGAATGAGTCACATCCAAAGCCTGGTTTGTACAAAAAGAGAAAGAGGGAAGTGTTGATATATATTAGTAAAGGCCTGTCTGCACAAACCAGTCTTTGAAATAAGTCGTGATATTAAAGGCTAAAGTCCTTGAAACCTTCCTGCAGAAGAGAGAGTAAAGCAAAACAATATCCTTGTGTACAGGAGAAAGAATGTAAACCTGTGTGTATTAGCCAATGGTAACTTGCTAAGCCCATGGACCCTGTAGAACCCTATAAAAGGTGTGCTAAAGATAGAAATAAATGGCGTTCACTTTTACTTCTGTAAAGAGTGGTGAATAGCTGGCAGTCTCTGAATAGACTGGAGATTTGAGAGTAAGGACGCCCATACAGACTATTTCAGCAGGCAGTCTGTGTGTAGGCATTCAGGGCTTCCCCCGATGTCGACACACGGCTACTGCTCCAGTCCACTCCTGCAGAGTGTCAGTCATGGCTTCCCATCCTTCTCTTCCAGCTGAGATGTCCAAACCTCTGGAGCTTTAGAGACCTTGACACATCACCGAGTGTGATGGGTCCACCCGTGTTCAGCTCTCTTGACGGCTGTTTCTGTGGTCAGCAACACCTGGAAAGGTCCACGCCACTTAGCCACCAGTAGTGCTTCTTTCCACTCCTTAACTAGAAGCCAGTCTCCTGGTTGGATATTATGCACTGCAAAGTCCAAAGGTAAGGTCTGTGTCAGCTGAGCTTCCTGTCAAAGAGATTTCACAAGAGACAGTATCCGAGCCACATACTGTTTTAGATACACATCACTTATCTCTACCCCCTGCCCCAGGCTGAGAATTACAAGGATAAGGAATTCCAAACATCAATTCAAAAGGAGATAGTTGAATATCTTCCCTGGGTCTGGCCCTTATTCTTGCTGTAATAGATACATATATTGTTGGCTTTTCGCAAATATTAAAATGAATGTTATGTGTATAAGAATGGAAATTTTTGTTGTATTAATGTAGTTTTCTTTATTTCTCTTATTGATGAAACTTAGAAATAGTGGTATAATAAATATATGTTCAGCTATGACATAGCATTAAAACAAAAACTACTTTTGTCTGTATAACCCAAAGACTGAAAAAAGATAACTGGAGACCCATTTTTTTTTTCTTTTTGTAAACTATCTTATCCAGACGAAGACAGCAGTGACCAGAACTCTGGGGGGAGGAATTTCTTGCATTTCTGGTATCAGGAAATGTAAATCTCGATGGCGCCAAAGAAGATTGGGAAGGGGGCAAGAGAAAACTGAACAGAAGAACACCAAAGATCCTAAGAAGAATGTATGAATATGTATGAGAGTGTATGAATATGTATGAGAATTTATGCCTATGTAGTAGGGTTCTGTTTTTAAGGACAATCCTTTGTTAGTAAGGTGTGCTCTCTTGGCTGAATGCAGAGACACCCGGCTGTATCTGTATACTTGACTTTATTTTTTTCTCCTAATTGTTTTTTTTTATTAAACTTTTAAATTCTATAAAAAATTACGTGAACCTCGTTTTTCACACAGAGAAGAAAGCTGTTTGCAGTGAAAAATCACTTAAAATCCATAATAGTTTCTGGCCTTATCCATACAAATAGAAGAAAATACTCATCAGAGCTAAGGGAGGCTGGATATCCACTCAACCACCTCTACTTCTGAAGGTGTGATTGCTCTTTTTACAAGAAATGGGATTAGAATATGACAAAAAAAGCTTTATTAGCTTTAATAACGTGGGCAAAGAACCACGTTTTAGATACAACCAAGGAAGTGGCTTTTGATACAAATATGTGGCAACGGACTGGACATTATATTCCTAGAGCAGTCTCAAAAGGGGATGATGATGCTATCAAGGTTTTAAAACCTTGGAGATTTATTTTTAACATAATGGAACAGATAAATGCTGACCTGAAAAGTGGGAAGAGAGCTCTGGAGAGGACAGAGGTGCCTGCATGGAGCGGCACCACCAAACAGGTGTCCAGCGTGGTAGGGCTGCTTTAAACACACCTCTCACCAGAACTGCTTTCTAGAGCGCCGTTTTCTACAACTCCGCCTAACCAGAGAGCCTGGGGAGCAGGCTGTACCCCACCGGGCAGAGAAACGGCAGCATGAGATGACCAGAGAAATGTAGCAACCCTGCCAGGTGTCTGGACCCCGCTGAGCGGCAGAACAAAGGAGAACCGTACGTCCCGGCTTGTGCCGGCACCGCCCCTCAGCCACCGGAGCCGCCCACACCCCTCAGCGCCCTGGAAACGCCCAGACTGCCCCCTCCCCAAGCTGATTGGCTCAGCCCAGAAGCCACGCCCACCATCTGCCTCCACTGGCCACGCCTACAGGCCGCTGCTGCGGGGGGCGGGGCCCGAGATGATGTCACGTAAAATGGCCGGATCCAAAGCCGGAAGTGCCCCAGAAGCTAGAAAGAGCCTGCCGGCGCCAAACTCCAACCCAGCACCCAGTGCAGTTCCAGCTTCGCCACAGCTACAGCTGTTAGCGTTCAGGAACACACATAATTACGGAATGATTATATGAAGGTGCTTATTGAAGAGTTCTGGGTGTCAGGGATACACATACCCAAATCTGAGCTGATTTGGTTTTGAGTTGAACATGTTTTATACTCTATCGTTATACAACTTACATATTAATTATTAAACTTACATTGGTCTATTGTATGCATTGTTTTTACCCAAGCATGGATCTCTCGTGATCCCCCCCAAACCCCTAACATTGTTCCTCATGTTCTTTAAACAATAATTGTATCTAATCACATCTAACAATTGTATCATTTATCATTTACTGACTACACAAGTGCAGTTTGACCTGATCTTTAGCAAGCACAAGGCCTAACATTTCCCAGGGCCTACTTTTCCCAGGGCTTTCCAAACCTAACTTTTTTTCTAAGTCTCCAAATTTTCTAAGATTTTAGAACCTTTTACTATCACAACCACATCATTCACAGCCAGAAGAAGCCACACAGCAGAAGGAAACACAAGATCTCCACAAAGAGAACTAGAGTCTTCACCTCACCACTAGCCCAGAAGGACAAGCACGTCTAGCCCCGCTGTCAGCTGCTTCAAACCCACTGATGTTCAAGGCAGAAAACGTTCCCACTAGAGATCCACTGATCTTCTGGATGGAGGTAAAACAAAAAGCGGTTGAAAGCGGGGATACAGAAGGAACTGAACTGATCTCTGCACCCATGTATTTACCAATAGAAGAGGGCTGGCAGCAGGGAGGGGGAACAATAGGAGCATTCCCAGTTATGCGAGGTAATGGCACAACACCTGATAAATAGGTACCCTTTAACTGGCAAGTCCTTTCAGAGCTACGCCAGCTGGCTGCTAAACAGGGACTAGGATCTCCTGCTGTAGCAAGTATGCTAAGATTTATAATTGCCAGTGAATTAACTCCATATGATATGAGGCACATTGCAAATTAATCTGTAGTCTGGTGCAGTATATGATGTTTGAAATGGCCTGGAGATCCTACGCAGAGAATCAGGGGTTGAAAAATGCAAGAGCTTTGCAGCAGGACCCGTGCTTTGGGGCAGGCATTCCTCAACTAATGGGATTGCATCCCACAGAAGATCTCCAAACCCAGGCTCGCTTGAACTCTGCAATTCTAGCCCAAGTGAAAGACTGAGCAATGTGAGCTCAAACAAAACTTACAGACTTTTCAGTGCCAACCCAAAGCTATTCAAGCATAAGACAGAACCCCAATGAGTTATATATGCAATTCATAGAACGTTTGCAGGATGCTATGGAAAAACAAATCACAAACAGTGAAAAAAGGGGTCAATTGATGCTAGAATTGGCATGAGATAATGCAAACCAAGACTCTAGAAAAATTATAGATCATTACCTCAAGAGAATCCATCTCTGGAGGAGATGATTACAGCATGCGCTAAGGTTGGGATGGGATCTCATAACATGGATATGCTAGCCAATTCTATTAGAGCTGCTGTTAAACTCACACCCTATTGCTATAAGCGTGGACAACAAGGCCACGTGAAAATAAACTGTCCACACAAGCCCATTCTACAGGGGACATCTCAGGGACAAAGAAGGGGCAATGCAAGCCACTGATGTGGGAGAGTCGGACATACAGCCAAGGTATGCTGGTCCGAATTTCATGTTAATGGGCAATCTCTCAAAGACCGGGGAAACGAGAAGCCCAAAGTGAAGGGGAAACATATGATGACACAAGTATTTTCCCACCCTCCAGCACAAGCCTGTGTCACCAGCTCACAGCAAGGACAAGGGGATCAGCTGGCATGGATGTTTCCACCTCAATCCCAATAACCATAAACTCATGACAAGTGCACAAAGTCTCTCTCGAGGCCCACAGGCCCATAGGGCAAGGACTGAGTGCACTGCTAATAGGGAGATCCAGTGCAACTTTACAAGGTATCTTTGTGTACCCAGGTGTTACTGATGCTGATTTTACAAGACAAATACAAGCCATGGTGTCAACCCCTACTCCCCCTGTGACTAACCCTGCTAAGACCAGAATTGCCCAACTTATTCCTTTTAACTCTTCTGTCCCCAGTGCAGATTCTAAGGAGCGAGGAGACCAAGGCTTCGGATCAACAGGACAGCCCCAGGTGTACTGGACTCGAGTCGTAGGTGATCAAAGACCGAATATGGTTTGTACTGTCACGATGCTTCAGGTGAGGCCCTCACAGATAAAGGTCAGTGGCATGATTGACACAGGAGCAGATGTCACCATTATCTCTGCCAACACATGGCACTCATCCTGGCCTACCACACCTGCAGGATCTGCTGTTGCTGGCCTTGGAGGGACCCCACAGAGCTGTTTGAGCAGCAATCCTGTGTTTATCAAAAATCCAGAAGGCCAAGTAGCCACAATATGGCCTTACATCACTGCAGTGCTACTGAACTTGTGGCGGAGGGATGTTCTGTCAGCATGGGGGTAGAGTGGGAACGGATTTTTTGACAGGGGCCACTGTATTGATGGGTGAAAATTATCCTACACCAGCCCTGAAATGGCTTACAGATCAGCCCATGTGGGTGCCACAGTGGTCCCTTGAAAAGCTAGATGCCCTAAAATCATTAGTACAAGAACAGCTAGCTCAAGGACACATAAAGCCATCTATAAGCCCTTGGAACACCCCAGTATTTGTCATTAAAAAAAAAAAAAAAAATCTGGTAAATGGAGATTTCTCCAATACCTAAGAAAAGTCAATTCTGTGATAGAAAGCATGGACACATTGCAAGCAGGGATGCCATCTCCCACAATGCTACCTACCTCCTGGGACATTCTGATAGTAGATTTGAAAGATTGTTTCTTCACTGTGATAAATGTGGCATTGGATAAAAATTCGTGAAGGAGAATAAAGAAATATATATTTATAATAATGTAAAGATATAAAATGTAGTATGATCTAAAGATTCCTTTCCGAGTCAGGCGGTAACGATCCACTGCGACGCTTATCAGCCCGAGATAAAGAGCAGGACACAGGCAATCAAGCTCTCAAGACAATGAGAGTAGCCTGGCTGAGATATCCATCTGCTTCACACCAAAAAGCCATAGTAACATGGAAAGAGGAGGGTGAGTGGCAAATGTTGGAAAGTTATCAGAACGGACCTCCCCACTTGGTAGAATTACATGCTGTAGCTATGGCTTTCCAACGTTTTCCCCATATCAGCTGACATCACATAGAGATTAGACCAAGCACTGTTAAAGGAAATTGATAATGTGCCACGGCGGCGGAGGTGGCAGGGGTGCCGCGACGACCCGGAAGAAGCGGTCCGCGGTTGGACTGCCCGGGGGCAGAGGCACATCCTCTGCCTGGTGAGTGATTTCAGCTCAGCTCAGCAGCAGCGTGCAGGCGACGCGGAGAGAGAGACTAGAGCGCTGTGCGGCGTTCCGCAGAGAACTAGCCTTTATTAAAGCAGGGCCCTCGGCAAAGGGAGCCAGTGACAGCAGCTCTCCTCCAACAGGGGAAAAACTGGGGTATTTATAGGGGAGGAGAAGGGCGCGGGGGAAACTGGGATCCATGTATCGGGGTAGGATGGCAGGGGAGAGCACCAATGGAGTGCAACAGTTTAACGTAACTAGCTCCAAGATTTCCGGGAGTGACACTTTTCTCTCTCTGAGATAAGGTGCCTTGCCTCCAAGGGAGAGCCAGGATCTCTGAATCAGCTGGTTTCCCGGCCCCCACAATAATGCACAATTATTATTCAATCTGCTAAAGACTCTACACCATGGCATCCAAGCCAGAACCTACCATTATTCTATTTTACACATCAGGAGTCACGCAAATCTACCAGGTTTTATCACAGAAGGCAACGCCAGAGCAGATATGCTAGTGAGCCCTGCCTGGAGAGACACCACAGCCAGACACACTAGCACAAGCAAAAGCATCACATGATTTCTTCAGTCAGGGTGTTTGAGCCCTACAACGGCAATTCCAACTGACAAACACAGAGGCTCATAATATTGTTAGCACCTGTGCTGACTGCCAGGGCCACACTGCACCACTGCAGCTGGGGGTAAACCCTCGTGGACTGCATGCCTTTCAAATCTGCCAAACCCATGTCACACGCATCCCTGAATTTGGACGCTTTCAGTATGTACACTTATCCACTGATACCTTCTCATCAGCAATATGGGCTACAGTGCACACAGGAGAAAAGGGTCGGGATGCCATTGCACATTAGCGGTCAGCCTTTGCTGTTTTGGGCATCCCTCCCACCATCAAAGCAGACAATGGCCCTGCATACACTTCACAGAGAACAAGACATTTCCTACAGCTCTGGGGTGTAGCACACCACACAGGAATTCCTCAACTAGCAATGGGACAAGCCACTGTGGAAAGAGCACATGGCGCTTTAAAACATATTACTGAAAAAGAAAAGGCAAGAATGTCTGGTGAAACACCACAGAGCAAGAGAGCCAAGGCTATTTACACACTAAATCACCTAACAGTATCAGAAAAGTCCCAGAACCCAGTCATTTTAAATCCCTTTCTAGCATTACAATCATCTGGAGATGAACAGTTGCCTAAACCCAAGGTACTGGTGAAAGACCTTCTCACTAAGAAGTGGCGAGGCCCGTGGAGTTTCATTGCCTGGGGAAGGGGATATGCCTGTGTTTCCACAGACACTGGAACAGAATGGGTACCTGCCAGATGTGTCTGTCCTGCTCTGTGTCCTGCCTGGGACCACAAACAACAGCCTCCTGACAGAACCTCAATGGATGGAATGGAGCAGATTGAAGAGGAGTTGTTGTTCTGATTGGGAACGGCGATAAAGAACGACATGGACTCTCAAGGGAGTCACAGCACGAGAATTCTCTGGTTTATTACTTCAGGCCTGTTTTATAGACTGGTACGTGGAAAGTACAGAAAAGAAACTCTTATTGGTTAGCAAAGTGCTACATCACCATCATTGGTCAGGGGGCTCACTACCCCCCTGACTTTCTCCTGCAAGGAAAACAAGAGGACAGACAAACAGCACCTGGCAGTTGTTTTCTGTCTCTGAGGATTGTTTTGAAATCCTCCTATGAATTTCCCAGGCTAGCTTCTCAGGCAGGACTGAGAGGCCAAGGGCCTGCAGCCTGCTCCAAAGCTAGCATCCATAATTCACCCTTTCTATTAGAAAAAATAAAAAAGCAGTGTTTGTTACATCCTACTGGGCCCTTGTAGGACAGAGAACAAACACAGCACAAGAGTTTTCTTTACTAGAACTTTGAATGGATGTCGATCTAGAATTTTGGTTTACGTTTTGATGTTTAAGAATTGTTTTCCTTGCAAGGACTTGATGGTTGAGTCTAATATTTCTAATTCAGTGAATTAATACACACACTATATAAAACATTGTTAGTCTGTTCGAATTGACAGTCTAACTTGTCAATAGAAAAGTTTAAGAGAACACTAAAGTGATAAAACTCACATTAAGTACACTTAGATTTATACTCAGTGACACTCTACTCAATTTTACTATGCAAAATCCATAAACTTTTTACAAATCAATTAACAATGCACAATGCAATTTATGATGCTTTGATCCCCCCTTCTTATCCCT